GTAGTTGATAACCAGTCGTGGAGCGCCGCGTTCTAATTCTGCGTTTTTCTGGACATAAAAAGCAGGGCAAGACCATGGAGATTTGCTTTTACAGATAATTCCTTTTTCTAAAAGTTGATTAATTTCAGTTTTACAAAACTCTAAAACTTCTTGATTCATTTGAATCGGTCGTGCTTTTGTGGGGATTTTTGACTCAATAAAATCTTTAACATAAGGTAGTTTAACAATATGTTGTTTTCTGTGCCAAAAAGCATTTGGAAGATTGGAACAAATTTCTTTAGTAAGCTTATCAGAAAACCGGTAAATAGAATCTAATAAAGATTTGTTTGTTAATTGTTCTTCAATTCTTTTGTGAAGAATTTCTTCCTGTAAAAAAACAATTTGTTGGAATTTTGCAGTAATCTGGTTGAGAGTTTTTGAAACATTATCTTTTTGAAGTTGTTTTAACTTTTTAAGATCTGTTTCCATGCAAAATTCAAAAGTAATTTTTTGGCCAAAAACCTTGGTAGAAATACAGTTATGATGAACTTTGAAAGGATAAATTAATGCAATGAAAGGGAGTCCCAAAATGACTGGATCAGAAATATTCTTGATCAAAACAAATGGAGTTTTAAAACAAACATTTTGTTGACAAACGTGAGCTTTGGGAATTTCATAGTTTAATTTCATCGGGAATTGATTTGCAGCGCTAAGTGTTTCTGTAGACTTGTGAAAATATTTAGTAGGTATTAACCCTTCTTGAATGCAATTTAAATCTGCACCTGAATCAATTAAAGCGATGATTTCTAAATGAAAATCTTCGATTACTATCGTAACTTTAGAATACCATTTTCGAATTCTTATTTTGTCTAAAAGACTTAAAACAAGTTCTTTTGAAGAAGAAGATTTAGCTGAGTGAGCGTCGAAATCGGAATTTGAGGAAGAATCATCTTGTTTTTGGACGAACTCTTGCGTACGTACTCTACTGAGTTGTGAACGAATTTCGGTATTTTCGGATTTTAAAAACTTAATTTCTGATTTAATTTGATTAATCTCTTTTTGTAAATCCTTGATGGTTAAATCCTTTTTTGGTTTATTAAACCGTTCCAAAGTGGTGCTGAGAGAAATCTTTTGAGAAGAAGATTGACTAGTGCCAGGTTCATTAGAAGAAATCAAATTTTTTAGTTTTTTCAAATAAAAAGATTTTAAATCAGGGTCATCGACTTTACTAATTAATTCCATTAAAAACTCTTCTTGTTCTTCTTGCTTGTTAATCACTGAAATTTTATTACAACAAGTGTCCGTGCATCCAAACTTAATGTTTGGCGAGGAGACGTCGCTAGAACTGCTAGAGTCGGAGGCGGAAAAATCGGGATTTTTATCAGATTGACTAGAGTCGGTGTTTCTAATTTCTAAAGCCTGAATAAGTTGAACCTTCTCTTCTTCAGAGATTTTTAGTTGGTTAATAACCTTTTTAACTCTACATTCATTTGCATAATGACCAAATTTACTACACTTGTAACATTTTCCCTTTTTATTTTGAAAATCCTTTTTAGACTTTCGAAAAGGTTTTTTGTTTGAAGATAGTTTTTCATAAAATTTATTTGTTTGAAAAGGTTTGTTGGAAGATCTTTTGTTTTTATAAAATCTGGATTGATGTTTAGAAAACTTGTTGGTTTGTTGGACTTTTTTCTTTTTACTCGAAGGAGCGATTGGAGGTAAACCATATTGTTCACAAAATGTTCCAAGTTCGTATTTAGCAATAGATTTATCTTTATGAACTTGTTTTGAAATCTTCATGTCGATACACATTTTCAATCCTTCCTTTTGAATAACATTAACTATGTTACCATAAGTAAGGGTATGATAAGGTATGACACCTTCTTCATTTACTAAAACATTTCGAATTTTGTAAGCAAAAAGATTTGGTAAACCATTGATAAATTTTTCTTTCCAAAAAGGTTGGTTACTATCTTCCCGAAGCATAACTCTGGATATGAAAACATCTTTATACCATCTGAAATCACTTAAGGTTGGACACCTTAAATTACTCAGTTGGTCGTGAATACGCGTAGTAACGTTGCTGGGCGTTCCTATAAAGTGTTCTATAATCGTATAAAGTAAAGTATTTACTCCGTCGGGTATTCCCTGTCCTATCGTTTCGTCAAAAATGGGAAATCCTTCCTCATCTTTTTTGACCGCAAAACGTATTTCATCTCTGGACAGAGAAGTTAGGTGCTTCTCCCACCAAGAATGAAGCATTCCAGTGAAACCAGTGACGAGAAGATCAACGATTTGTGTTTGAGTAAAATTGTGATTTGAAATGTAGCTATTAGCAACCATGGACATGTGTTGAAGTTTGTTCAAAAGTTCTTGTTCGGATAAGCCATCTATGTTCCACTCATAAAGTTTGTCGGCTGAAACTGAAAATTGATTTTGAATATTTCGTTCTTCAAATTGAAGGTCAGGAGGAGTTGGCCTGGGATACCAGTTTTTTGTGAGAGAAGTAGGGTTGATCGGATGAGTACGAATACGTTTTAAATCAAAAGTTGGTTGAAGATCAATGTTTTGAAAAACATTTTCAATTTTTTGAATAGCAGAACTAGTTTCCGTGTCCTGAGAAGAATCTGGATCAGATGTGTTTTCTTCTTCGACAGAAACATCATTGTTTTGCAAAACACTAACAACTTTCTCTTTTTTGAGCTCAGTGAGCATATGATCAATTTTTTGTAAAGTAGTCATAGATTTTAAAGCAGTGGAACTTGAAGAAGTATCAGTAAAATTTACTAAAGGTTTTTCTTTTTGAGAAGATTTTGGTTGAGACAATTTGTCAATTTTGGTTTCAATTTTGTCTAACTGTTTTCCAATAGTATGAAGACTTTGGTTTGTAAAATTATTCTGTTCAATGACAGGTTTAAAACCAGAATCTTCTTTTGGAATTTTGAAAGGGGTTGCGGGAATGTTGGTATTACCGGTGGAAATCAAAATAGTTTCTTTGGGAGGATGACTGGAAGAAATCAAAGTTTTGTCTTCCTTAACCCAATTTTCTTTGGTAACAACCGTAACTTTATTTTTGGTTTCATAATGTTTTTCAATAAAATCAAAGAAAGATATTTCAAATTGGTATTGTTCTACAAAAGCTTTCCATTTGGCATATATGGCTAACTTTTCTTCATCACAATACTTTTTTCTAAAAATATTTCTTCTGGGAATATTTTCCTCAGAAGCGATGTCAGCTTTAAGCTTCCTCCATCGGATTTTATGTGGTTTGTTTAAAACAAGTAATTGGTGATTCACCGATGTTGTTTCAAAATCAGAAGCAGTTGGAGAAGTGGGTTCTTCTTGGTTTGGAGGATGGTAAACAGGATGAGCAACTTGTGAAGAAGTGTCGACAGACTTTAATTTGAGTAAATCATTGACTAAATCTTGTTGTGCAGCTTCCTGCTCTTTTAGTTTTTTGTTTACTAAAGATTTGATCAAATCTTGATCTCGACCCAGTCTATTGGTTGACGTGGATCCAGAAAAAGACTGTCTGCTAGGAGCAAAAGATTTGTGTGAAAAAACTGATTCACAAGATTTTCTTGCTGGACGATCAAAATTGATTTTAACTGTGCCGTCAAAATATTGTTCAATGTTGTCAAGATTAACAAGACTGTTTTGGACGGAAACCGGCTTACTTTCATTAATTAAACACCAATCTGAGGGGAGACTGATGTCTGACCACCTAATGGTTCTTGGTACTCTTATGTTGGCGCTTTCTTGGGTTGTTTGGATTAAAAGAGTGGTCGCGAGGACTTTTGTTCAAAGCTTGAAAATTCATGTTTGTGCCAGTGACTTTGTAATAAATTCTAAAAATAAGTGCCAAAGGTTGTGTTCCTTCCAGGACTTGGTACCCGGAGGTTTTGATATTAAGAGTAAGAGCTTTTAAAATATGTGAATCTGAAAGACTTATTGTGAGATCGGGAAAGCAATCAAAATGGATAGGTCCGTTGTAAAGACTAGATTCGATCATTCCTAGTATACTATCGTTGAAATCAGTAAATCGAGCGTCGCGTAAACATAAAAGGATGGAAATGTTAAGACCTTTTCGCGTTAACGGTTTAACTGCAATTTGAACTAAACCAATATGAAGATAGTTATGACCATTTTTGCGATGCGCTTTGATTTGTTCTGGAGAAAATAATTGACAAGTCTCATGTTCTTTGCTAAGAGCATAAGCCTTCTCAACTGTTTTGACGTGATGTTCGGATTTAAAAGAGGTCAAAGACCATTTTTTCTTGTAAATATTTTGGGTTGAAACTTTTGGAATGTTCCAGTCAGAAAAATCAATACTTTCGTTTGTTTGAAAATCCAGTTTTTGTTCTTCATTGACAATGTCAGGTATAGTTCCTAAGTTGGATCTAGAGCTAGTGCTGGCCATTGAACTAGATCTAAATAATCTACTCATGATATGCACAAAACAAGTATACTATATGCAAGACTTAAAAGATTCACCTTCCTCGTATGTCTAGACTCTTCCCCCGCTCATGCGCTCCGCTCATGCCTCTCCTGGGACTTATTGTTTGGACCACGTCTTACTGTTTGGCTGGAAGAAAGAAGAACTGAGGACCGACGATTAAGAAATGCAGATAAGATACAAGTATGTGAGTAGCAATATATATATATATATATATATATATATATATATATATATTGTGTTCTTGTGCGTTTGTGTGATTTACAATCGAATCTAAGTTGATTCAAACCGACCCGATTTTCGTGCATCCACAGAACCTACTTTTATTGTTTCCTATATACTCCATAGTCCATAACCCGTGGAATGTGAACAAATCCAAAATCTCAACTGCTACTTGCAGCAGTGAAAAAGGGAGTCCTGGACTCTTGGCCACCACGAAATGTTTGGAACCTTCTACTTCAAGAAAGAATTATTGCGATAAAATAGTAGGCATGCACATATTCTTCCACCAATATCAGAGAATATTTATACTAAAAATAACAAAAAAATAATTTTAAACCAAAAGAAAAATAAAAAGAAGAATATATCATCCTCAAACCTCAGCCATTAATTCTGGACAATACCGTTCGAACCAGTACAAGATCCGTTGCATGATTAGGAGAAAATTAGAAAGAAAAAAAAAAAGAAAAGATAAGAACATTAGGTATAAACTAAGGGAAATCCCAGTTGAGGCATCTCTGCAGGATCCCCTCACTTGTGGTTACACTATGTCACTTTGATCTGCACCGTATTGATCCCGAACTGTTCACTCTTCCATCATCATCATCATCAAAAGAAAATTGGCGCATCTACACCGTCCATCCTACTCCTGCCTCCATTTTGAGCAACCCCTTGCAGTGGTTTGATTTGCTGCACACACAATATTTGCAAATCTTATTGCTCCATACAAATTATGTAAAACATGGTGATAACTGATAAGTAGGAGAATGGAAGAAAACAATTGAATTAAAATTAATTGAAATAAAAAAAGGTATGAACGAGACGTTACTCTTTCAAGTTAACGACAAGTTGTATGAACTGTCTCACATAACATGGGACCCATGAAATTAAAGAATAATTAAAGCGCATATATGGTTCAGTTTACGCAAGAGAGGTGGAAAAATCAAAATTGATGTGCAAGGCCTCTTTCTGGCCTATAGAAACTGCTACAAGAAAACTCCCAAATGAGGAAATCCTTGCCTTGCTTAATTACCAAGTAGCAGAGAATATTGCAAAAATAAAGATAGTAACTAATTTCCTTTTATTTAAATAAAGAGAAAATTAATCTATGAGCCATCGTAACAATTAATCTCATCTTGACAGAGACATAGTGCATTAAATACGGACTAATTAAAGAAAACAAATGCAAAATAGATATCATGCATATCGTTTGAAGAAGTAACCAAGTATTAAAGTAGATGGAGTTTTACCGTATTGGCAGAAAACAATCATGTTTATGCATCATGGTACCAGTTTGATCCCCATTAATTATCTTCATCCTAACAACTAACTATTTAACCCACTAACCCCATTGTTTAAAAAAAAAAAAAAAAAAAAAAAACCAAAACCAAGTATTAAGAAATAAAAAAAAATTAAGTAAATCAAATAAATTTTCAAACCTTGGCTCTAAAAGATTTGATAATTGAAACCAGCAACTCGTCTCCTGCAATTTGTCTCACTTTTTGTATTAGTTGTTGCCTTGTGACCACATTCGCCTGAAAAAAAATAAAATAAGAAGGGTTAAAAAAGGGACAATAATTAGAAGAAGAAAAAAAGAGTACAAAATCTGGAAAATTCAATGCAGAAAGTAGTACTACTTACTCTGTGTTCTTTGTAATACTTGCTGATCAAGGCAATGGTAGGTGGAGGCAAGAACTTCGAAAGCACGCCGATTAGCGCCTGAAATGGCATCCACGGTGAAGTCGGTTTCTTGATTGGTTCTTGAATCTTCAAGAAATCTATAGCACAAAACAAATTGTTGGTTAATTAGAACTCAGAAGCCAATCAAATTCACCAAAAAAAAAAAAGTTGGGAATTAAGTTGCAGTACCTTTCAAGCAATTAGGAGCTCTGAAACTGATGACATACTCCGGCAAGATGTGAGTGTTCATGTGTGTACTCCAAACTATGTACTTTTTGGGAGCAAAGATGCTGTCGATGCCCGAAACGAACTGTTCGGAGCTCGGATGAAGCTGTTTAGAGCCAGGGCACACAACCTCCGGCCTCCCCAATATGACACGGCAGAGCAAAAGATGGCGTAAACCGTCTTCGTCAACATTCAAGCTTTCCATACTACAAAAACAAATCAAATTTGTCAACCAAATGTCGAAAACATACAAAATGTGACCAAAAAAAATACACATTTCAAAGGATTTGTTCAAATTCGAACTTCGAAACACGAAGAAATTGGTACAGAAATGAAAGAAACACTTACCATTGCATAGGAGAATCATCTGGAGCAAGATAAACACCATTGCCATACACCCCATTTCTCTGTTGCTGCTCAAAGTTGCCGAAACCATGGCATATGATCTTCGAAATCTCATCTTTCGAATAGGGCGCGTACCAAGCGTACTTCATGTTGGGATTTCCCCCGCACTTCTCCTCCACCGCTTTCAAGTAAATTTGAAACGAACGCAGCCTTGCTTGACCCACGAGGCTCGAGTAGGAGTTTCTGTGAACCGCCACAACACTTACTTGGGTCCCAAGCAATCCCAAACTCGAAACGAACCGCTGCTTGATAAGGTCGTGAACTCTGTCCCCGTCGAAAAGCGGGACCAACCCATCACCGAATGGCCGAGGTTGATTCCGGGAACTTGAAGAACCCGAATCGACAACGCTTTCACAGTCGGAGATGGACGACTGGACGGTCTCTGAGGCAGAGTCGGTGGTACCCGAATCGGTGAATTGATCGCTGAGTTCGTCTTCCGATGAATTTCCAGAAGAAAGATTCGTATCATCATTGCTGTACTCCATTGCAACCAAAACCCAGAAGAAAACTACAACAACTGAATCGAAACCTACTGTGATTTTTACAATCTGAAGAAGAAAAAAAACAGAAACCAATTAAAATCTAAAAGGTGTTCATGTATAGGAGTTTCGTGGGGGTTAAGCAAAAAGAATAAATCCAAAACACAAGACGAAATGAAAGAAGAAGAGTCGGCAGATTTTTGAGAACGCAAACTAACCAAACAAACTATACAACCAAAAGTACCGAAACGAATACATTTCTGTGGAAATTTTGCGTAAAGATTTGAGATTCAAGAGCTAGAAGAAAAACCCAGAAAGAAAAAATGGGAGTTGTTGAGAATTTGAGAAAGGTTTTGTGGTTTTGGATGGTTTTTTGGGGTGGGATTTAAATGGAAACTGCTTTTCTGGATTACTTGGGGAGGAGGAATGAAGAGGGAGGAGGAAGTGGAAAACTGAGGGAACCGCCTTTCTTCTTTAAGGGCAAAAAAATCGGTGGGTGCGGCTGCTATTGGTTTGGATGCCCCTCGTTTTTCTTCTCGGGGCTCCGGATGGTATATGGGCTGTTAAGGCGGTTTACCCGAAAGCAGAATTGTAACGTATGGATTTTGAACGGTTGGAATTACTATAATGGCCTTGGAAATATCCGTTGGCTTTTCTGGATGGGAAGGGCTTCATTGGGACTTGGGGGAATAATTGAGTGCACAAAGAAAGAGGTGCTCAGATTGGTCGGCGACGGGAGGATATGGTTATCCAAACATTTCATTAATTTAAGAATAATACTTGACTACTTAAAAATGAATAAGAACTCTTATTTAAAATTCTTAATGTTCTAATCGCGGATTTTTGTGCTTATGATCAGAAACATTCATATTATGAATCACATTGTAGATATCATCTCTACAAAAATTAAATTAAAACTAATTTCATTTAGTTAATCTATTATAGCAAATATATAGATGGTTCATAATACTTTTACTGTAACGACCCGTTCCTAATTTTACGGTTTTTATAATTTTAATAAGTGAATTTACGAAAATGCCTTCTGAGGCAAATGTGTTGACTTTGTTTGACCATCTTGTCGTGTCATGTAAGATTTATTTTCTTGGCATATCCTCGTAGTATTCGTCACTACGAACGCATGGGGCGTAAACAGAATCACTACGAACGCATGGGGCGTAAACAGAATGTGATTCGAAATTACACGAAGATTTTATGAGGTTTTGAACGTCGAGGATATTTTGGTAAACTTATAATTAAGTGGACATGTGATATTTTTGTCTAACCATTGGGTGAGTGCCACATGGCACCCAAAAATTCTGGAACTCTCTCTCGGCTCTTCCTTTCTTCCCGTGAAACAAACCACCACCACCAAAATTTTGGCTTGTTGAACATCAAAACCACCATTATCCGCATGTTCTCACCACCAGAAACTTCATTGTGATTTTTGTTTCATTGAAAACGAACCCGAAACACGAGTTCGAAGAACAAGGTTTTGGGCCGAGACTTCTAGGGGACGATCGTTCATGACGTTTCGATATTCGTGCTAGGGAATTGTAGTGCGGACTCCAGTTGAGTGGGTTTTTTCCTTTTTATAGTGTGTGTGTGTGTGTGTGTGTGTGTATTGTGGTTTCCAGAACATTTTTAAAATGATTTATGCTTTAAATGCCATGTCAAAAATGAGTTGCATTTTAAGTATTGCATTATTATAAATCTTGAATTATATCGTTTGACGTTGCAGAGGCTCAGGTAAGCTTCAGGTGAGTATATTGTAATGGTATAGGTTGCATTGCACATTGTTATGCATAGATGCATTTAGAGTTCATCATTGTTGCATCTCGGTGTTAGTGCTTCCGCCTGAGATCAGGGTACAATCCTTCACGTGATGTTCACCTCCCACACCGCATGCTCATCTTGGATCTAAATTTAATGCACAGCCGTGTCATACAAACCATAATAGGTGGTTCCGACTCGTAGGTGACCCGCGATTTATCGCACAGCCTTCACATGCTCGTAGCACTTGAGCGTACTTATTTACACTCAGCCCTGTCGTACAGACCACAATAGGTGGTTCTGATTCATGTGCAAGCATACCTGATGAGCTATGGGTCCAATCGTATAGGTCACTTTAGTTGATTCCGACTGGCATATTATTTTATATTGATTTCACACCTGGCTTACATCTTTTAGTGCTGAAACGTTATGACATGGCATACTTCAGTTTTTACTGACCCTGTGCATTGGTTTTCGTATGTATATACGTAGTATTAATTTAATGTAGTCGCGGACCTTTGTTGTCCATACCACTATTTGTTTATGTTCCTTAGTTTTTCAATTGTTTAGTTAATATAAAAAATTAGAAATAAATAAAAATGTGCAGAAGAGGCGGAAAGCAAAAATCAATTTCTTTCATGTTTCAAGAATTTTAATTTTAATGTTGTTGAACACAATAGATATATCAAGAACATAGAAGAGATTTTAATCCGAAATATCATGAATTGAAGAGAGAGGGACTTTACCACCAGTGGTATCTAATAATTTTCATTTTAGTTTTAGTTTTGTTAGGGAACTTTAACGAAAAATTTTCAGTACTATTCACCTTAACGAAAAACCACATTTTTAAACTAAAAAGTCAATTCTGGTACTATTCACTTTATCCTTTATTTTGTCCTTATCGTTAAAACTCAAAGTTTTCAAGTTCTTTTCATTAGTTCTCCTTACTTTTATTAAAAGGGTTTTTGTAAAGCATGGATTTATGTATTTGATAGAGGCTATAGATATTTTTCTTTGGAGGTAATGACTGTTGTCTATCTTTGTCTTAGGGATTGAGGAAGTCTCACAGTGTGTCTCACTTTCATAATTTGATTGAGGACTTGATAACTTCCTTGCTCAAAATGTCTACTTCTTGTTGTTTGTTTGGTGGTATGTGATGACACTGGCAGTCAGCTATGACGTGAAATAACCTTTAAGAATTTTCGGAGTGTCACTAATCAATCTTTTGAGATTTGTTTGAGCGTTAATTTTAAAATGTTTCACTGAAGATTAAAGTAATTATCGATTTTCTTTTCTAATAAATTATTTTTAAGGAGAACCATCTCTCATCTGATTTGTATGTCAATGATTTTACTTCCAATTACAAAGTTTTAAATTTTTACTGAACAATTTGAATATGATTCTTACGCTCTAATAATCACTCTCAAACAGACCCTTCAACACAAGATTGTTTTGTGTAAGTGAAAGATAGTTAGAAAGGGTTGGACTTGGAGGTGAAGCTATGAGCATAAAGGTTCTCGTCTCCATCTCTATGGGTCGAACAAGGATTCCAACTGAACCACTAGAGTTGTACTCGCTAGTAAATCCGCCAAGCTGGCACTTCCATCCAGTTTTTTGGTCAACACAGTTTGATCCTTTTTGGGTCAAAGGCACTGTCAAGGAGAAAAAGTCAAACAATCCCGGATACTTAGAGTAAAATTAGCCTGTTGAAAAATGTTACGTCTCGTGCTAATAAAATAAAAACAAGCAAATTTTTTTGCTATATATTTTTACTTTATTGAAACAAAATATCACATAACAGTGTATCTGTGACATGTAAATTGTTCTCAACTTGAAAAAATAAAATTACTTTTTTAAGTTCATAAAAAGGTGAAAAAAGAAAATGGGTATTTACTTTCATCCAAGTAATTAGCATTTTTGCCCCTAGGGCTACAATTCTAGAAAACCCTTGTATTTCAATAAAATTACTTTTTTCAGCAATGGGGGTTACATTATTAAGGGTAATATTGTAAACTCATCTTATAGGGATAATATTTAGAGGTTAAGGAAACTATTAGTTTGTTATGATTAGATTTCCTTAGTTAGAAAGATATTACTGTACATCTAGCTTTCACAGCTTGTATATATACTCAAAGTGTAACTTTATTCTTTTTTGTGAAATGAAAATACATTTTCCTAATATGGTATCACCCGTTGACGTCTCATGACCTCTCTTCGATCCAAAATTCTCTCGTTTCTCTCTGTGTGCCTCTTTCTTTGATTCTTGCAACTTTATCGATTGTCTCTCTGATCTTGATCGTTTTTGTGATTTCTCAAGCCTTCGTCAGAATCGGATTCTCAAGTTCTTCCTCCGGCTGCACCCTTAAAGTCTAATTCTTCGATTTCTGCTTCCATCATAATTCAGAACAACGAATCTATGGTTCCAATTAAGCTCACCACTACCAATTACCTGACATGGAGTGCTCTCTTTGCTCCAATTTTTCGTCGGTATAATCTCATGGATTTGATTGATGGATCCTCGTCGGCATCGCCTTAATTTCTCATTGATTCTTCTGGTAATCACAGTCTTAATCCGGCATATGTTGCTTGGTTTGAGAATGATCAAAACATTCTCATCTGGATCAACTCAACTCTTTCTGAATCCCTAATTCCCTATACTGTTGGAGTATGCTCATCTTGAGAACTTTGGGCTAAATTGGAATCGCGTCTTGCAGCCGCTTCACATTCTCACATCCACGAACTTCGATCTCGTCTTCGCAATCTAACCAAAGGTGATCTCACTGCTGCTCAATATCTTCAACACATTGAAGAAATCGCTAATGCTCTTGCTAGTATTGGAGCTCCAGTTGAAGATTTTGAATTAATCTCTGTTATTCTCCACGAATTACCTCCAAATTTGATTCTTTTGTGGATGTAATTCAGTTTCGCCTCGGTTCCACGACAATTGATGAATTACATGGTCTGCTACTCAGTAAGGAGATCAAATTGAGTAATCGAAAGAAAAGTGCACCGACATCATCTTTTCAGGCCTACAACACCTCCACTAGTATTCTTCCTTTGCCTGTCAATTCTAACTCTCAAGGATATGTTGCTTAGAATTCATCTACTTTCAACACTCAAAGTCGTGGAATGGATCAGGAATTTCAATCGAGGCAACTACAACAATCGTGGAAATTTCAGGACAAATAATATTTAGAGATTCAATAATTACAATCATGGTAACAATCAGTGTTACAATCATGGAGCTCGGAACAATTTTTCCTTATCTAACAGGAAACTTTTTTGTCAAATTTGTCGTCAATTTGACCATGAAGCTTGTGATTGCCCTCATCGCATGGATCCTCATTACAGTGGCAAGTCATCTCAATCCGCCCTCCTGCCAGCACTTCTAATTCTTCTCCTACATGGCTTGTTGAAACGAACGCAGCCTTGCTTGGCCCACGAGGCTCGAGTAGGAGTTTCTGTGAACCGCCACAACACTTACCTGCGTCCCAAGCAATCGCAAACTCGAAACGAACCGCTGCTTGATAAGGTCGTGAACTCTGTCCCCGTCGAAAAGCGGGACCAACCCATCACCGAACGGCCGAGGTTGATTCCGGGAACTTGAAGAACCCTAATCGACAACGCTTTCGCAGTTGGAGATGGACGACTGGACGGTCTCTGGGGCAGAGTCGGTGGTGGTACCCGA